GTTTTAGTATAAATAGTAGTAGTCATGTAGTTTCTCGCTTGTGTTCACAATTCTATACAAAGTCACTCATATAGATTCGAGTACCCAGCGTGTGAGAAAGAATTGTTGAGAAATGTATGTGTGAAACACCAACTTTATTAATCAAAGTCATTTACTTTTCCAGAAATTTACTTGCTTTCCTCTTTACATTCCTGTCGAAGCCTTTCATTTAAAGCCTTATTTATTTTACCAAGTCCTTTCTTCATGCTATTTACTTAAAGCATCTTATTTTATTGTCATTTAAAGCCTTATCCAATTTAATCAAAACTTCAAAATCAACCTATGTCCTAGGATCAATCTGATCGATCCTGCGAGTAACCAAATAAGTAACCATTTGAAGGATCAGCGGTTGTTTACCAAAAACCAAGGTAAATGCAATTTGGAAATCATTTTGCTGTAGGATAACGAAATATCCGATCGAATTGGATATGGAGATTCAAAGATCCATCGACGACATAATCAAGATGTTGAAATATCCAGAATCATCTGGTAGTGCCTAGGTTTTCATGTTTAGTTGTTTTTAGTTTTCCTTTATTGTACTGTTTTATGTTATGTTCATCATCGATTCGAAACATGTAATCGCCAAAATATTATGCAATAAATAAGAAGTATGTGTGTCACAAAATATACATATAGTACAACCAAAATAAAACAGATCTACATGGGCCCTCCACGGGCTACGTCGGCTAACCTAGATAAACTTGTATAAATCTCCCCCATCAGAGTTTACTAAACCCGTGAGGTTATCTAAATAAACTGCAATAAATTGTAGGCGGCTATCCTGATCTCCTATAGATGGTGGAGGTGGTGGAGGCTTAGAAGAAACACTAGCACGTAAAGGCTCAGGAACATCAAATACTATAGCCGATGGTATGACCCGAGGGTGTGATACAATGTGATACCATTCCATGTATCCATCCTTGCACTGTGAAGGGTGTTGAACCATAACTGATCTCTCCCTGATCTCACGGGCAGAGTTGATGATGTGACTTTGAAACCATCTCTCTCAATGCCACCATATGGAGCCACGAGAGTTGGGCAGAGGATGCCTTGGATATAACTATACTTCCATAGACACCTCTCAGGCAAGTGTCTAGTTGGTTCTCTCACCTAAGATGCCCTGTGTTGCACCCCAAAATTTTCCCTCTCATTTTACACAAAACATACTCCTAGAGGTCCTCAATTGCTCAAATTGACTAAGGATTGACCAGACAAATCCTCCTCCTAATACAATGAGCCTCAAACTAGGGTTTCACTCCTCATCAAGATGTTTCTAAGTGCAATCAATTTGTATAGTTGTGCAATCGATTGCTCTCAATCAATTTTTGCTACTGACTTTAAGTGCAATCGATTTACACACTTCTGCAATCGATTGCACACTCAAAATATTTGAATTTCTAGCTGTTAAAACCCAGTGCAATCGATTTACACAAATGGTGCAATCGATTTCATGCTGAACGATTTTGAAAAACAGCAGCTTTACTCATGCCTGTTCATAACACCAATTCATAGAAACCTTTCACTCAATATTGGAAATTGTTCATGATTCATTTACAGAAATTTATGTTTTTTCAAAAGGGTGCTATGAACATATAAATACTCATTTTCAAAATCATTATGAACACCTCTTCCAATCATTTTTCCTGAATTTTCAAAAATCAAACTCAAGCTGTTATACATTTTCATACACAAGTTTTCTGCACACTTTCACATATTGTTAACCAGAAAACTTTGAGCATTATATATCTTGAGTCATTGTATACTATTATCATTGGAAGAGAAGATCAATTCATTGATTAAATCACTCAAAGTGATCATTGCTACTCAAACTCACTCAAATCAAATATTGCTATATACTTGCTTATTTTTCAGGATTGTTGGAAATAAGTTCAAGTGTTTTATATTCTTGTTTTTCCAGGATTGTTGGATACAAGTAAAGTCACTTTGAGAGGATTGTTCTCATTGTTGACATAGTGAAAATCCAAGAGGATTGTTCTTGGTCCAAGAGGATTGTTCTTGGTTTTGGGTAGTTCTTGTTTAAGTTTGCCACAATAAGGAAATCTCTTTCATGTTGAAAGGGGACTGGAGTACTCTCGGACTGCGAGGGGGACCAAGATATATCGCTTGTGTCTCTTTATTTTTCTGCACTTTACTCTTTCATAAACTTACCATAAACCAGAAAAATAATATCCATCATCACTAAAACCAGAAAATTTTAAAGTACCTAATTCACCTCCTCCCCACTCTTAGGCGCACTTCGTACTTATATACAAAAGGTAAATACTATAATCGGAAATTTCAAAATCAGTTAGAATATACCGAAAATTTCTAAATTTCCGATAGAAAATATCGAAAATTCCCCAAATATACCATAAATACTTAGTGTTTCGCGAAATTTCCAATATCGCCTTGAAATTTCCAGTATCACTTATTGAATTTAGAAGATCCGATGTGGTACTAGAAATTTGAAGATTTTGAGTTTTTTTTTTAGATTTTGGACAATTTGATCTTTTCATATCCCTTGAAAAGTGTCATATAAAACAGAAGGTGTCATATTAATTTCTCTTGATTTTGGATCAGAAAGGAGTATTTTGGCCTTAACTTAGGGAGAATAATGACAATGGCCCAAAATATTAATTATGAGAAAATTTTACTTTGTATTCCTACGACTTTTAAAAAAATGTCAGTTTTATCCTTCAATCTTTTTAATTAATTTACCATTTTATTTTTTACTATTCATCAAAAAAATTGAATTTTACACCTCCTACATCTGTGTTTCGGAATATTTAAAAAAAGTCTTTCAATATATATTGTAACAAATCGGAACACTTTTTGAAAGAATTCCAATTTAAAAAAATTGCTAAATGAGTTTCAGCAATGATTAAAAATCGTGATTTGAAATAACAAAGTTGTTTTTCTTTATTAAAATTATCATACTAGAACACTTATTGAAAGTGTTCTGGTTGAATGTATTATTAAAATATTGGAACACTTTATGAAAGTGTTCTGGTTGAATGTATTATTAAAATACTGGAACACTTTATGAAAGTGTTCCATTTGAATGTATTATTAAAATACTGAAACACTTTATGAAAGTGTTCCGGCTTAAAAAATTGCTAAAGAGTTTCGCAATGGTTAAAAACCGTGGCCTAAAGTAACAAAACTTGTTTATTTTTTTTTTAAATTATTATATCGGAATACTTATAAAAAGTGTTTTGGTTGTGTGTATTATTATTACACTGGAACACTTTTTTTTTTTAAAATATTCCAGTTTAAAAATTTGTTAAATGAGTTTTGGTAACAGTTTGAACGCGTTCTCTATTTATGTTTGGCCATGCTTTAAAAATGTTGCCGTTATTAATTTATAAAGAAATTTTTATCAAAAACACTTTTATAAAAAAAAATCCGGTTTTTTAACATATTCAATCGAAAATGTTTCACTATGATGTTATTTTTGAATTTTTGAAAGATATCGAATCAAAATATTTTTAAAAAGTATTTCAATATGAATTTTTTTCCTGGAACATTTTAGAATAGTGTTATGATATGAAATTTTATTTACTTGGAGATTTTCAAAAAGTGTTCTAGTACATATTTTTTAAACTGAATGATTTTGAAAATATGCTTTAATTTATATTTTTGAGTGTTCCGAAAACTTTTTAAAATATAAACTTTTTAAAAGTGTAATTTTTAAAATATAAATTATTTATATAAAAGTATTTTGGTCCAAAATTTTTTCGTATAAGGATATAAATATAATTATTGGGATATGGGGTAAAAATTTCTAACTAAAATTTCTTTTTTTTGAAATGATCTAATATGTGTCTATTTACAATGGTTGAAATGCACAAAGTAAATTGAGTTTTTCATCTTATCTTGCACGGAATTTAGTTCAATTAAATGAAAAGCCGTAGGAAAGGAAATGCTGGCACGTAACCCTTGCTTTAATTGTTATCCTCTCCAGGCCACCACTTCCACCGACTATGACATTGCACCGAATCCAAACTCAAAACTAGCTGTTATTTATTTTATTTGTATCTTTGATTGATTCTCCTTTTTAGTATATTTATTTCATTATTCCTTCCTTGTTTAATTGTATTTTCCTTAATCAACTCTCATGTACTAATCTGAAGATGATGAGATAATTTCTTTAATTAATTAATTCACTAAACTACTGCCAGGTGCCACCATTCTCTTTAGCTTGCTTCTTCATTCACACCACACAAGAATAATTAATCACATGTTATAGTCTCTCTTGTCAAATATATATGTGCTGCGATTTGTAAAAGAAAGAAAATAAGTATAGTACTCGTAGAATGGCGGATTGGGGTCCGGTGGTGATAGCAGTGGTGCTGTTTGTGTTACTAAGTCCAGGCTTGTTGTTTCAACTTCCAGGGAGGAATAGATTGGTGGAGTTTGGGAACATGCATACTAGTGGTGTATCTATTTTGGTTCATACAATAATCTTTTTTGGACTCATTACTATCTTTCTTATTGCCATTGGTGTTCATATCAACACTGGTTAAACTCATTTTGATCCAATTATTATAGCTTTCTTTTATTTTATTTTGGTGTGGTTTGAAATTTTATATTTTGGAATGTTTGATGGTGTTTTTGAGAAGTGTAACGTTTGATTTTGTATTTAAATAGAATGGAATAATTTGCAGCAGATACTGTACAATATAAACCCCTGTTCTTTCACTTCACAGTTAATAAATATAACAACATGTTTAGAAAAAATAACAAGAGCTGAAAAGCATGTAATATTAAAATTAAAAATTTCAGTTCTCAAAGGTGGTCCTAATAATATCCCTTCATTTTTAAGCAGACCTTTAATCGGCTCTTCCATATCCACAAAACTCAGAGTAAGTTGATTAAAAATCCATATATTCACGTTTACAGCATCCAGGAATTTTGAAGAATTTGTATATCCCCATTCTCAATTTGTTAGGTCAAATAACCTACCATGCTGCAACAACAAAAATTTCAAAATTAGATATAGAACAATAAAGACAAGAGATTTTCCAATTGCAGAATAAATTCATAACCGTTTTTTTTGTTACCTGGAACATCTTTACGCGGCTCTGGCGCCGTCGGAAGGTAACGGAAAATAAAAGTACCGAAATCGGAGAGAGTCGTGACGATTCCAGCGACGTAGAGGACCATAAACAATCCTATGACCCAGGGCATCAACACGAAGCCGATGAAGAACGTGACCGATCCACATAGCATAAGAGACAGCGAGATTCCAAGAAACATGGAGGCGAATCCCGCGGGGGTGATTTGAGGCGGAGGCAAACGCCGTGACGGTGGAGAAGAACGGAGGAGGTTTAGAACGATGGCGGATAGCTCGTAGAAAGCTCGAGATTGTTCATCTTGATCATGCCTTGTTCTCATCATCTCGTTTACAGAACCGGTTGAAACAGAGTACGACGTTTTATGTTTTGATGTTTAATAAGGATTAAAATTGCAATTTGAGGGAAATAATTAAATAGAGTTGAAAATTGGGATTGGAAAAGATTCGGTTTGTGTGAGATTAAGTGAAGAAAAATGGTTAATAAGCTAGGTTCAACTATTCGATCTATGATAAAGACGTTTTGGTTTGGATTATGAATAATGATGAGAAAATTTCAACAAGTTTGAAAAAGTGAATTGGGTTGGAATGCCAACAAGGAAAGAAAGAGGTTGCTTTATCTTGAAGAAAGCAACGTCTTTAAGATTGGTACACCTCATCACAGCGCGTGTATTGCATCCCTCACGGTTTCTTGTTGGTGGCACGATGGAAATCAATATTTTAGTCCCTCTATATTAATTTTTTTATACTTTTTAGTCCCTTTAAAAAAATCAGTTTTTCTTTTCTTTATCATTTTTTTTTTGGTTTTTTTAGTCCCACATGCCTAACACGCCTCCCAGTTATGAGATTCTTGCATCGATTTTTATTATAGACGAAAACATTTGGTATTTATTTTGATTTTGTTTTCTTTCTTAACTGCACCCCTAACCTCTACACCACATTTCTTTTTTACGTGATGTTATTTTTTTTAAAGCAAGCAAGCATGGTTCAATTTTTCCTGAATCAAATAAATGCAACCATGAACATATATAACAAATTTTTGCGCCACTATAACATGGCTTTGACTTTATAAACTTAAGATGCCATTGATCATTGCAGAAGCAAGCATGAAATATAATGTTATATAATTCTAAGTTAGAATCTCAGTGCCCTTATATACATTATTTATTTAATGTGTTATTTAATGTTAATGTGTGTTTTTTTCTATTTTATTCATTTATATATATAAAATAAAGATTTATGGCTTCGATTGTTTTTGACAACCGTTGTGATACATTTTTATATATTATTACGGTTAGTAGCGTCAACCGTTGTGAGTATATTTATATATAAATGAATTAACTCTCGCTTTTTCACAGTAGTGTCGTATCTTTCACGGTAAAATCTTAGAATCTATTTTTTTTTTTCTTCTTCATCATTAGCATTTCTATTCTACAGTATAGCCGTCAATCTTGTTCTTCTCACATAAAAATATTCTTCTTTTTTCTTATTCTCTCATTTTCGTGTATCTTGTTGTTATGTTTCACATGGTTTTTCTTTTAATTTCTTATTGTCAGATAGTTTATGGTTCTTTTATTGTTGTATGTTGTTCTATGTTATTGTTGCATGTTGTGTTGTTGATAAATAAGTGCGATTTTACATGTTGATAATTTTCACGGTGATTGTAGAGCTCAAGAAAAGTGAATGGAGAAACAACAACACCAATTTCATTTAGTTTTAGCAGCTACGAAGAGAAATATAAGAAGTATGAAGTTATTGTTTTAACTTCATCCACCTTATATTTTTTTTCATGGATTCACAAACTAGATGAACCTCATATGGTGATGATAATGGTGGTAGCAAGCATATGGTATATTTTCACGCTCTCTCTTTTGATCTCTCTTTCGATACTTATAAGTTAGGATTTATGGGTTTAGGGTTTTAGGATTTTGTTGATAATGTATGGTTGTATTGTGATGATGCTCAGGATTGAACTTTGTTGTGTTTCGTTGCAGTAGGATTTGATGGTAGGCAAGGCATGGTTGATGACAGTCTAATGAAGTACTTTAAAGTCTTATACAGGTTGACATAAATGGTTAGTTATTCAGTTCTCCCAATCCATATAAGTTAATTTGATGTTTTTGTTGATAAATATTGTTAGTGAGTTTGTTATATCATATGAGATTGCTTGTTTCACTAATCCCTCATTAAACTTGCACTCATTTAAAAAGATTTTTAAGATAATAATTTAAAAAATTAAGTTATTCTTGAAAATCAACTTAGATGATCCAATGTTTTTTTCGAATCGCATATATCTTGTAAATCATAATCCCCTCTTTAGCATATAGAATTTTATAAATTCTTCAAAATAATATTTTGATAAATGGGCGCCATTCCGAGTCTTTCACACAAAACTTGGTGTTTGAAAAATAAAGTTGATAAATGGGTGTCATTCTGGATCTTTCACACAAAACTTGATGTTTGAAAAATAAAGTTGAAAAGAATAGGAAAAACTCAAACTGACATCCATTTATCAACATTATTTTGAAGAATTTGGGATTGAATCAAGTCATATAGGATAAAGAGGAAATCATGATTTACATGATCTTGCAATTCAAAAAATATTGGATCTTTTAAGTTGTTTTTCAAGAATAATTTAATTTTTCTGATTTTCATCTCAAAAATCTATTTGAATGGTTGTATATAGTTAATGATGGGCAGGGAAAAACAAGCAATTCCATATTTTATAATAAACTCTTACATATACCCCAACGGTTGGAACTTATAACCGTGGTGAAATATTATTTTTATGCTCTTTAATTTTGGTTGTAGTTGGGTATCGAACTCATGCCATTATATTTATGACAACGATTGTTTACATTAATAATTGTGATAGATAGTTTACTACAACGGTCAACACGTGGTCCTTGATCGTGATTGTAAGTGACACATATACTACCACACGCTACATAACAACGACTGGTTCCATGTGATTATTCATCTTTTTCAACCGTTGTTGAATATCTTTTCTGTAGCAGTGTGAATTGCTTCATTATACTTTTCTCTTTCCAAAACATCAATTTCAATATTCGATGTCTCTCTGTATTTCAAATACATCGTGTATCTCAAAAGTTGATTCTTTCATTCAATAAATTTTTGATATTTCCATAACTCATTTATATTAAAATTAGACAAGCATTCAATTTCCCCTCTCTTCCTTCTGGCTCCAACACATCTCACTTGTTTCTCACTTTCACTCCTACTTTCTTTTTTTCTCATTTTTCTTCCTTCTTTTAATTTTGTAAACCAACAAAAACAAAATTTTTTTATCCATCTTCCTCACAATCGATTTAAATCTTCATTCCATATCGTGATTCTGAATCATTTCCTTCCATTCACCTCAGTTTTGTTTTAAAAAATTCATCAACGAACTTCACTCTATTGATGCATGTCAACGCGGCCTTATGTTCAGGTATATTTGAATTTCTCTCACCACTTTGCTTTTCAAATTCTTAAATGTTTTAGATTTTCAATTGACCATCTATTCTAGAACCATTGGTTGTTCAATGCTATCAAGCATTTTACAATCTTGAATTTTGTGTGTGTAATTATTTCTCAATAATTTTAATTTAGGTTTTAATTTTTTTGGATAAATTAATAATTTGACAGTCGCTTTATGTTGAATATGTATTTAGGCTCTGTTTGGTAAAAACAACGGTTAGATGATAAGCTAGCTTATATCTTATAGTTTATGACTGATGACTGATGATTGATAATTTATAATTGATGGCTGGTGGCTGACGACTTATAATGGTAAGTTAATTAAAGTGCTTGATAAAATTAGTTGCTCAATTAGTTGATAAATTAAAATGACATAAAAGACATTTAATATATAATTATTTTAATTTAAATTAACATAAGTTATAAAGGGTAGTAGTAGGTTTTATATAAAATAATAAGGTTAAAAAAAGAAGAAAAAATGATAAGCTATACGCTATAAGTTATAAGTTAAAACTCTATTTGAAATAGCATCTGGAAAATAAGCTATAAGTCTGTAAAATAAGCTATAAACTTGTGATGAAAGATTGTTACCAAACAAATCTTTCATTGTCATATGGGTTTATAAACTATAAGTTCAAAAAGTGTCTTGCCAAACAGAGTCTTGGTTTGAAGGGTAATTTCTTTTGAGTATATTATTATTGAAATTGGAACGTTTGATAGTTTGATTAATATTTATATGTATCTTCATTTTCTATTGATGTATATTTTGCTTTAACAGTCCTTCTGAGCTAGAATCGGCTTTGAAGTTGAACATAGTTAACTACTTTGATCTTGGATTTTTTGTCAAATTCACTTCTTATTGTTTGTGATCTTACCGGAATCAGACGAATCTTCAATGGCCTACAACATTTGGACTTATGCGGTTGTTAAAGTGAATGAGGGATGTACCTGCAAGGTACTCTGATGCCAAAGTAAGGTTCAGAGTAAAGAAGGCAAGTACATAGTGAAAGTGAGTAGAATGGAATATTTGTCCCTCTAGTGAAAGATAGCATTTATAGCCCCCAACGCTGGGCCAAGGTCCCCATTTTGGGCTGGATTTTCAACCCAAAATGGAGACTACCAGGATCCTACATGGGTAGAGGAGACCAGTACATGGTCTCTATTGTGGCGAACTGCCCCGTGATCTTTGAAGGTAGAAGACCCGTTCTTTACGGGGGCAGCACGACTCAGTGATCTTCGGAGAGTCATTGGCCACGTGTACTCGACGTGTATATTGTAAGAACAAGATTTGGTTCTGCAATATTATCTCTAAGTTTTGATGATAACAAATGAGTATGTTTGTATGTAATTTTGATACTCTAATGTTTGTTATTGTTGAGTATTTAACAAACTGGTTCTGCTTTTGATGGATGTTGTGGCCAAGACATTAGAAGAGAATTGGTTTTTTTTACGCTACACAAGTTTTGTTGAACAATAGCAAGACAGTTTAGAAGGCTTTGAAGTGTAACCTCTAATGTTTGTCTAAAGAAACCAGTCAAAAGATTTGAAGATAGAAGTTGCTACTTAAGTCCAAATGTTGAAGACTCGGGTTTCTGAAGACAACAGGTTCTAAAGAAGCAGTCAGAAGATCTGAAGACAGAAGTTTCTACTCACGTCTAGATGCTAAAGACTCAAGCTTCTAAAGACAACATGTTCTAAGGAAATAGTCAGTAGATCTGAAGACTCAAATTTCTACTAAAGTCCAGATGCTAAAGACTCAAGTTTCTAAAGACAATGTGTTCCAAAGAAACAAAGTTAAAAGATCTGAAGACAAAGTTTCTACTAAAGTCCAGATGCTAAAAACTTA